GGGGGGGGGTCTCTCTTTTGGAAGGGACTCTTTCAATGCATGCAACTGATCACGCCCTTTCTGTGCCCCCACCGCCCTCAGTCTCAGCATGCTCTGTGGTCGATTCTCTTCAGCAACCGAACCTCAGCTCTGATTATAGGGGCAGTTCACCCCAAAACTGAAGAATACAGCATGTGTTACCGTGTTAATTGTACAATCATGTAGGCTGGAGGGTTCTTTCCCAAACAGCAGCCTGTCATCCTGGCGTACATGTGTGTGCGTGTGAAAGCTGCGATCCGGCTGCACGGCCACGGGAGGAGCGAGGCGTCGGAGCCCCAGGCCCGGCCCCCCTCCCCCCTGCCGCCGTGCCTGCCTCCCACACTGAACGCTGTCTGTTCTGAACCCCTCCTCCCTCCCTCCCGAAGGTGCCAGCAGTGTTCCTGCCTTCTTTTCAGAGGACGACTCGCAGTCCAATGACTCCAGCGACTCCGACAGCAGCAGCAGCCAGAGCGACGACGTGGACCAGGAGACGTACCTGGTGGATGAGCCGCTGGAACGTACCACGGGCGCCGCCCACGCCAACGGCGCTGCCCAGGCCCCGCGCTCCATGCAGTGGGCCGTGCGTAACGCGCCCAGCCAACGTACCACCGCCAACGCCCCCTCCGGCTCCTCCACTCCCGCAGGTGAGACCTCCTCCATCCCCGCGTCCCGGCTTGGTGGGTTCTCCTTGGTGTCACTAATGGGCTGACCCTGTTCCCACAGCAAGCTCCACTGGCCTTATCTACATCGACCCGTCGAACCTGCGCCGCAGCGGAGCCATCAGCACGAGTGCAGCGGCTGCCGCTGCCTTGGAGGCCGGCAGCTCCAGCAGCTACCTGACGTCGGCCAGCAGCCTGGCCAGGGCCTACAGCATCGTGATCCGGCAGATCTCTGACCTCATGGGACTCGTCCCAAAGTACAACCAGCTGGTCTACTCCCAGTACCCTGCTGCCGTCAAGCTCACCTTCCAGGACGCCGTCCATCTGCAGGTGCGTCAGGCTCTGTCCCTGGTCGGTCTGTTCTGCCAGGTTGTGTGGTGCCCCCACTCCATCAACCATACCTGTCACCTTGCAGAGCTATGTGGAAGAAAAACTGATTCCCACCTGGAACTGGATGGTGTCCATAATGGATTCGACGGAGGCACAGCTGCGTTACGGTTCGGCACTGGCCTCCGCCGGCGACCCAGGCCACCCCAGCCACCCACTGCACGCCTCACAGCACGCCGGCCGCCGGGAGCGTGTCACGGCTCGTGAAGAGGCCAGCATCCGGGCGCTGGAGGGCCGCAGGTGAGGAGGGGAGGAAGCCAGGCAGACTATAGTGCCTGGAGAACCTGCCGAAGGGGCCTCAGGCGTCTTTACAGGCCTGTTCGCTGCAAATATAAGTGGTGCAGTCATGGGTTAGGGTCCCATGGTTAGCGGAGTAATCATGTCACCCATAACTCCCGCTACTCCAGGAGCGCTGGTTCACCCTGCACTTTCCTCACTGGCATGTCATTTTGTACAGAAGCATCTTTTAAATAACGTGTGTGCCTGTTGCAGACGCACTGCCTCTCTGCTGAGTGCACGCCAGGGCATGATGTCGGCGAGGGGTGACTTCCTGAACTACGCCCTCTCTCTGATGCGCTCACACAACGACGAGCACTCGGACGTGCTGCCCGTCCTGGACGTCTGCTCGCTCAAGCACGTCGCATACGTCTTCCAGGCCCTCATTTACTGGATCAAGGCCATGAACCAGCAGACTACCCTGGACACCACGCAGCTGGACAGAAAGAGGTGAGACCCAAGCAAGCATTTTTTCCTACATGAACCACACCTTCCAGTGTGCTTTGAGGACATGGTGCCGATTTTGTGTTCTCTACAAATCACCTGTTCTTTCAGGACCCGTGAGATTCTGGAGCTGGGCCTGGACAATGAAGACTCTGAGCATGAGAACGATGAGGACACTAATCAGAGTGAGTTTCCACTGCGGTCATCATCCACCAAACGTTAAACCTTATGCCTGCAGCTCTGGCTCTAACTCTCCGTCTTCACAGGCTCCACCATCCATGAGAAGGATGACGACCCCCTGTCTGCAGAAACGGGTCAGAACCATCCCTTCTTCCGCCGCTCTGACTCTATGACCTTCCTGGGCTGCATTCCTCCAAATCCTTTTGAGGTGCCACTGGCTGAGGCCATCCCATTGGCGGACCAGCCCCACCTGTTACAGGTACGGATCCTGCCTCCTGAACCTTGTCTGACATGTCCAGCAAGGCCATACACCTCGTGGTACATTAAGTGAAATAGTGCACTGAGCTGTCGGGACCGGTGTTCATACAGCCAAATGCCAGGAAGGAGGATCTGTTTGGGAGGCCAAGCCAGGGCCTCTACTCGTCCACATACAGCACCAGCAAAGGCCTGATGGACATCAGCCTAGACCGCAGCTGCCTGGAGGTAAGAGCTGAATACTGAGGCACCAAGTCGGCTTCATCGCACGGTGCCACTGTTAGCTCACGTGTTGCTATGCTCACACTGCCACTGCACCTCGCCTTGGTAGTGGTGAGGCTGAATGTTGGCGTACAGGTGCCTTGACAGCGTACCGGCACTCCCCGTGGCTCTTCTGCAGGTCCTGCCCACGAAGATGTCGTACTCGGCCAACATGAGGAACGTGATGAACATGCAGGCTCGGCAGAAAGCTGGCGAGCAGCAAGCCCCTCCCGAGGACCACCTGGCACCCCCCAAGCCCGGGCCGTCCGCCCACGACCTGGCAGCCCAGCTGAAGAGCAGCCTGCTTGCGGAAATCGGCCTGACGGAGAGTGAGGGTCCACCTCTCACCTCTTTCAGGTATGCTGGCCCTTTATCTTTGCAGAGAAAGCCGGTCCTTCCATTTTGATTGTGTCACTAACAGCCAACCCTCCCGTTGCAGGCCGCGCTGCAGCTTCATGGGCATGGTCATCTCCCACGACATGCTACTAGGCCGCTGGCGTCTGTCCCTGGAGCTCTTTGGACGCGTCTTCATGGAGGACGTGGGCGCAGAGCCCGGATCGGTGAGTCGCAGACGCGTGGCGTCTCCGCTGCCAAGGCGGTCAGCAGAGAGCCTTCTGTCCGCACCGGCCACCCTGTGAAAGCATGCTTCCCTGCAGATCCTCACGGAGCTGGGGGGTTTCGAGGTCAAGGAGTCCAAGTTCCGCCGGGAGATGGAGAAGCTGCGCAACCAGCAGTCCCGTGACCTGGCATTGGAGGTGGACCGTGACCGTGAGCAGCTCATCCAGCAGACCATGCGGCAGCTGAACGCGCACTTCGGCCGGCGTTGTGCCGCCACACCCATGGCCGTGCACCGCGTCAAGGTCACCTTCAAGGACGAGCCCGGCGAGGGCAGCGGCGTGGCCAGGAGCTTCTACACGGCCGTGGCCCAGGCTGTCCTGTCCAGCGAGAAGCTGCCCAGCCTGGACTGTGTGCAAAGTGTCAGCAAGGGCATGCAGGCCAGCAGTGCGTCAATCTCCGTCACTCGTCTGCATAGGGGGGTGTGCATTTGTCGTGCCGAGCCACGTCTAAGACTGTGTGTTTATTGCCTCAGATCTGATGCAGAGGCTTCGGAACCGGGACCGAGAGAGAGAGCGCCGCAGCGGTGGACTGAGGGCTGGTTCCCGCCGGGACCGGGACAGGTGAGGGTGCCGACCACTGGCCTGTTGCACTCGCCTCTTCCATTTCGTGAAGACGCTCCAGCGTGACTGTGTCTCCTTCAGGGACTCGAGGAGGCAGCTGTCTGTTGATACGAGGCCCTTCAGACCGGCATCGGAGGGGAATCCCAGCGATGAGCCCGACCCGCTGCCGGCCCACAGGCAGGCTCTAGGGGAGAGGCTGTACCCCCGGGTCCACGCCATGCAGCCGGTACTTATGGCCTGAGAGAGGATCTGGCTTCTCCTGCCCATTGGAGTCTGTCACCTGGCCATTTTTACACGCTGACCTCTGTTCCTCTCCTGCAGGCTTTCGCCAGTAAGATCACGGGAATGCTGCTTGAGCTTTCTCCAGCCCAGCTGCTGCTGCTCCTGGCCAGTGAGGACTCGCTGAGGGCACGGGTGGAGGAAGCCATGGAGCTCATCATTGCACATGGACGGTACGGCCTGCAGCCCTGTCTTCTCCTCGCCTGGCCCTCTTACTATATTGCCCCCACCCTCACTCACGGTCTCCTCCTCTTCAGGGAAAATGGGGCAGACAGCATTCTGGACCTCGGCCTGCTGGACACGTCAGACAAGGCTCAGGTAGGAGTCACTCCTACGTGACTCGCCAGGTGGGACATCCTCCCGTCTGCCCGTCTGTGCTCACCCTCTGCTCGGCTCTCAGCCACAGGACAACCGCAAGCTGCATGGATCCAGCCGTAGTGTGGTGGACATGGAGTTGGATGACACAGATGACAGTGATGACAACACTCCGCTCTTCTACCAACCCGGCAAGAGGGGGTTCTACTCCCCCAGGCCTGGCAAGAACACGGAGGCCCGGCTGAACTGCTTCCGCAACATCGGAAGGTACGGCTGCTCCAGGGTTTGCTGGCGCCGGTGGAAGAGTGTTTTTGTATAACTGTGGTAAGATGGCTGTTCTTTTTCTTTCCCCAGAATACTTGGTTTGTGCCTCCTGCAGAATGAGCTGTGTCCGATAACCCTGAACAGACATGTCATCAAAGTGCTGCTAGGGAGAAAGGTGAGCAGGACCCCTCTGGAGAAGTGGGCGGGGCATGGGGCGGGAGCCACTCTGAAGTGGGCGGGGCATTGGGGCGGGAGCTGCTCAGGAGAAAAGTCGCCACGACAGCACCCTTGACATTGGCTCTCTGAACAGGTGAACTGGCACGACTTCGCCTTCTTTGACCCGGTGATGTACGAGAGCTTACGGCAGCTCATTCTGCACTCTCAGACGGGAGAGGCGCAGGCAGTGTTTGCTGCCATGGACCTGGCCTTCGCCATCGACCTCTGCAAGGAGGAGGGTTCTGGCCAGGTACACAGCGTGCATGTGTGAGAGTGCCTGGGGCCTGCAGGCCTTCCGTAGACACTGGGTGAAGACCAGAAGCTTATTTTGTGTGCAGCATGACTTGGGTTTCATTAAGAACAATGTGGTTTGTGTGGTCCTGAGGCAAGCCTGATGGACTGATGCTTTGTTTCAGGTGGAGCTCCTATCCGGTGGTGTAAACGTGCCGGTGACTCCACAGAATGTGTATGAATACGTGAGGAAATATGCCGAACACCGCATGCTGGTGGTGGCTGAGCAGCCGCTGCATGTGAGTATGGCCCTCCGGGTCAGACTGGCACTTCCAGGTTTTAGTTCTGTGGGTGTGGTTAGAGGGTCACTTGCTCGGCACCTACATTGCATCCTCTTATGGTTCATCTCTGAAGCAACGCTCCTTAAAGGACTGTTACTCTGGTCTGGCTCACAGGCGATGAGGAAGGGACTGCTGGACGTGCTGCCCAAGAATGCCCTGGAGGACCTGACAGCAGAGGACTTCAGGCTCCTCGTGAACGGCTGTGGAGAAGTCAACGTGCAGATGCTGATCAGCTTCACTTCTTTTAACGACGAGTCAGGTGCAGCATTCGTGCGGCTTCCGGCTGAGATCCTAGGGCATACCTCTGAGCACTGCTGTTAACATGCCGGCATCCTCTTCATCTCCGCAGGAGAGAATGCAGAGAAGCTTCTGCAGTTTAAACGTTGGTTCTGGTCCATTGTGGAGAAGATGAGCATGACAGAGAGACAAGACCTGGTATGGGTTCCTTCTGGGTTTGAAAGCATCACATGGAACCCATTTCCCCCAAACATGTTATGTATACCGGTGGCAGTGTGTCATTATCCCCCTCATCACCCTCTAGGTGTACTTCTGGACTTCCAGTCCGTCCCTGCCGGCCAGCGAGGAAGGCTTTCAGCCGATGCCCTCCATAACCATCCGGCCCCCAGACGACCAGCACCTGCCCACCGCCAACACGTGCATCTCACGCCTCTACGTGCCGCTGTATTCTTCCAAACAGATCCTCAAACAGAAACTGCTCCTGGCCATCAAGACAAAGAACTTCGGATTTGTGTAGAAGTTAACGAGCGCCTTCTCTACGGTTGTGTAATATTACTAGTTCCATTTTTGTAGAATTATTTTTTATTTGTCTATACTATTTTATGATATTTGAAATGCTGTCATCCCTGACGGTAACTCTTATTTTGCGTTGTTTTATTTCTGAAGAAATGTACATTCCTCCATTGAGTGTGTAAAGTTGAAGCCCACAGCACAGCCCGCTTAAACTCTTCCCCTTCATTTTGCCCTATAGGATGAACCCCAGCCAAAGACGACAGCAGACATCTTTAAAATAACATTTCACTGTGATTATGGTTTAATTTTCCCCACCCTAAAAAGAAATACTTAATCTCACTCAACGTTCACTGCTGCCTTTGTGAAAAGTCTGTTTTTCTTGTATAGGGGGAGTAGGGAATTTAAAAATAAACTTGACAATGCAAAATATTTAAATGTCTCGATGTATTGAAAAATCAATGGTGGGAAAACCACTGCTGTTTGGAAATCCCTTCCCATGGAATGAGCTGCTGAACCACATCTGGTCATCAGACTCACTTTCCATTTTCAAGAAACACCTCAAGACCCATCTCTTCCTCTTCCAATTCCTCCACTAGCCTGATGCCTCTTTGCATTCCCTGAATGTTCTTATGTGGTACTTCTGATGACTGAATAGTCTCATTAGGTTCTTGCTTTGTTGGATGACATGTAGCTTTTGCTCCGATACTGCTTCCACTTTTACCTGGACATTCACTGGAAGCTCAGCCTAGCTGCACTTATGCTTAGTCATCTCCTTGACAGCATGTGTTAGAAATGTGCTATTTGCCTCGCTTGTAGGTTGCTTTGGACAAAAGCATCTGCTAAACAAAAATAAATGTAAATATTCACAGTAAGTTAGTTTAACCAAGGATGTTAGGTCAGGTTGAGGAGCATGCACTAATGCAGCACGTTGTCACACAAATAAACACCTTGGGATCCTGATTGGCAGCCTCCCAGGCCAACACGTGGTCTAGTCCCGCCCTCCGGAAATGACCGTCTATCTGCCACAGCCAAGTGTTATGTGGGTGTCCCTTTGGCCTGGCCTAGCCGATCGGGTCCTCAGCAATGAGGATCCTGTGAGCCGGATCACCCTCAGGGAAATGCGCCACATGGCCGTAGTGCCTTAACTGAAGCTCCCTCACAATACAGGTAATGTGCCTCATTTGGGACTCCTCTAGCAACCGCTCGTTCTACACAAAGTCAAACCAGCAGTACCCAAGGATTCTCTGAAGAGAGACCGTACCAAAGGAGTCCATTCTTTGTGTCAGACCACTGGATAGCGTCCATGTCTTGCAGTCAGATTGCAAGACAGGGAGCACCAGGACACTAAAGACTTGGAACTTCATCCTCTTGCCGTGATAACAAAAGTGCCACACACCCCTTTCCAGTGACCTCTTGACCCCCCATGCTCTCCCAATCCATCTACTGACTTCATATGAAGACTCACCAGAGACAGGAATGTCGCTGCTGAGGTAAGTGAACCTCTTGAAGTCAAAATTCTCTCTGCAAACAGACTGCTGATGGCCTGTGTCCAGAAGGTCATTAAAGGCCTGAACCAAGGATGTGTTTGTTGGATGTGTTAATTGTCCTATTCGTAGTAAATCTCTATTCATGACTAATTGTACAAATGTTGGATGACTACGTTACTTGAATGGTATATATGTTATTTTCAGTAGTGCCAATCAACATAAGTGACCACCAGTCAATTTCACTTTCTCAAACTCTTTTGGCAGGGCCGCCCTAAAGCGGATATATATGTCCTGATTGCCCCAGCCATTCACACACATAGATCCCACTAGCTTGTATCTCAGTGAGAGGGATGTGTCTGTTTTCTTGCACACAGTTTATCAAAATCTTTGGATGCTACAAGCCTCTGAATTTTAAATATTTCTAATAGTTATAAGTTCCAAGTATATGTGTTCTCATCTCGAATGCCCCACAGTTCTCCGCTTTTTCCCTCATGTACGCCTTCCTTTAATTCCTTCGCGCCTCACAGTTTGAATACATTTGTCCTTAGAAGTACTTGCGCCCTCTGCAGTCCTAGCACAGAACAGCTAAGCAATGGTGCGGGGGGATGTCGCCGTTGAAGCTCACCTAGGGCTCTAGACTTCGACTGGCACTACATATCAAACTAAAATGTCGCTGCAGACATCTTTCTGTTACCTTTAGATGTCTTTTTATTTGCGTGCGTTTACGCGCTTAACGTATTTCCATATGAATGCGCAACATACGTACATTCTACGTATTTACGTACGCATGCGCACCTTACTTGAGTAATGTTTTTTTTTTTTTTGCGCTTGCGTGTTTGTACGCCTGCGTCCTTTTAAAAATACTTAACGCTCTCTTACTCAACCTCCCGGAAGCGGGGTGCAGATGGCAGTGGGGTTCGGCGGTTGCCGGGGTCACTGTCCTCCGCTCTCGCTATGGATTCCCAGAACTTAGCGTCGCAATCTCAGGTGAAAACCGGGGAGGGAGTCGCTCGGTCGTTTGTGGGACCAAGCTTATGGGAGAGAGACATCGCGGCCGTGGGAACCCGGCGTTCAGGGGGCACTGCGTCCATCCGGACGGTAACCCGCCGGGTCCGCGTTAGCAGCTCGACCTCCGCAAACCTTTCGGGCACAATAACGTAATACTGAATTCAGGAAGGAAAGGTGTTTATCTGGCAATATTTCATAGTCAAGTGGGAGAATTAACTTACGTATGTATAGGGCTTCAGAGGTGATGTTGATTTTCTTTTTGCATAACATAAATAGCCTTGCACCTGTTTTGGTATTAAATTTAAGATATCGAGGTATATTCCGATATTCTTAAGTTCGTTAAAAATGGTGTACCTTACGTTCACGTTTTAAAATATACTATTTAAATTTTCTAGTTATATTACAAATCTTATTTTCCTCTTAGGCAAATAATAGTAAATGTGAACGTTATAATTTGAATGTTTTTTCTTGAAAAATCACTTTCATTTTATGTTCGAGAAATTATCGATGTGGACATGTATAAAAAGTTGTGGTTTAACTGGTGGTCAGAATTTCTTATGTACCTCATGATGCGGCCTTTTCATTAAAAAAAAGGAGAAAAAAAAAGTTTTACATTTATGCACTTAACCAGGAGGACTCGACATAGTGGTTTGACGATATGTATGAAAGGAGTTTTATGGGTAAATTTGCTGAGTGGACCTCTGTGAGGATACAGGGGCATCAGGCATGACTTTGGACTCCCTATGATGTTGCAGAACGGTTTCCAGGGGAACACAGAGGCAGAAGACGAGCCGCTGTTGAGGAATAACCCTCGGCGCTTTGTCATCTTCCCAATTCAGTACCCTGACATCTGGAAAATGTACAAGCAAGCCCAGGCCTCCTTCTGGACCGTTGAAGAGGTCTTTCATATCCTTCATGCTTTACTCCCCTCATTCTGCTTTCCCGCTTTTAATCTTTAACTTAGTCTGTCTAGTATTGAACTTATGTGTTCAATAACATGTTTAACGTTATTTATCGGTTGTGTTTAGTGGTGCACCGATGTGGAAATTTTGGCCGATACCGATAACCGGCTAACCTTTGAGCTTCTGCCGTATGCAGTTCCAGAAGCAGGTGCTTGTTGAAGGTATCTTATCACCTAAGACCGAGACCAAAACTGTGTCCTCTCGCTCTGCACAGGTGGACCTTTCCAAGGACCTGGCTCACTGGGACAGACTGAAGCCTGACGAGAAACACTTCATATCCCACATCTTGGCTTTCTTTGCAGCCAGTGATGGCATTGTCAACGAAAACTTGGTGAGTCTGCCCTGGGTGGTTTGTGGGGGAGTGTGCTGCTGACGGCCAATCAGAGTAGCTGGTGGAGAAATGCCCGTCTGTGTTTTAGCAGCAGACCACAAGTGCTTAGTCTGTAAGATTCTGACTGAACTGATCAATATATATATACAATATATTGATTGGGAAGTGTGGTTAGGGGTGTGAGGTGGTGTTTGTCCATGCTGCCAAACCAAACAGTTTGTGGTTCCCTATGTCGCGGGGTGTGAGGTGGTGTTTGTCCATGCTGCCAAACCAAACAGTCTGTGGTTCCCTATGTCGCAGTGACCCCTGTGTTCACCTCCTCCTCCTCCTCCTCTTCAGGTACAACGGTTCAGTCAGGAGGTGCAGATCCCAGAGGCCCGGTCATTCTATGGATTCCAGATCCTCATTGAGAACGTGCATTCAGAGATGTACAGCATGTTGATAAACACCTACATCAGAGACCTGAAGGAGAGGTTGGTGATGACATCGCTACTCTCTATCTCTGCGTGTTACAGTGTTCTTATGACCAGAGGTCACGGTAGTGCTTAAAGGACTGCACTCGTAACTGCAGGTTAGCCGGTTCATGTCCCGAATAGATCTGATGTCTCTCTGTAAAAAAAAATGCTTAAGCTGGTGCTTTCAGTCAAGTCAATGGATGTTATGTGATCTGTGTAGCTCTCTAGATAACAATGTCGATGACCCTGTGTAATCATAACAACATTCACCTCTTTAATGGCTGAACTAGCCACAGATAATCAATGCTCATTCCGGGTGTCCTGCAGAAGTTGCATGTGACGAGTTTAATTCACACTCCTAATCATGTACGGTTGAGCCTGACCATTTGGTACCCCCCCCCCCCCCCCCCACAGAGATTTCCTGTTTAATGCCATCCACACCATGCCCTGTGTGAAACGAAAGGCTGACTGGGCGCTGCAGTGGGTCTCCGATGCCTCATCCACCTTCGGTCTGGTTCACTCTCCCCTTTTCTGTCAAGCACGTTCTGCTCTGTTCAGTGGTCCTCTGGTGCTGACCCACATCCTCTTCGTTTTCAGGAGAGCGCATCGTAGCTTTTGCTGCGGTAGAGGGCATCTTCTTCTCTGGCTCCTTTGCGGCCATCTACTGGCTGAAGAAGAGGGGCCTCATGCCAGGGCTCACGTACTCCAACGAGCTCATCAGCCGGGATGAGGTGAGCCGGGCGGGTGGGACTGAGCTCCGTTTGTGGGACCATCTTCACATCGTCTCCACTTCGTGGCCAGCGTGTGGCTCGGTGGGTTAGGACACTGAGTGGAAGGACATCAGTTCAGGTCCTTGGGTTGTCAGCTTGATGTCACCATTGGACCCTTGAAGGCCCTTAAACTCCATTGCTGCAGGGACAGGCTGATCTTGCTTTCTCACTTGTATGTCGCTTTAGATGAAAGTCTCTGTTAAATAAGTTAATATATTATACATCCTCCCGTTTCTCCAGGGCCTGCACTGCAACTTCGCATGCCTCCTGTGCAGCTACCTGCAGAAGAAACCGTCAGAAGATCGAGTAAGAGATATCATCTGCGAAGCCGTCAAGATAGAGCAGGTCAGGAGAGCACTGAGCAGGAAGCCGCCGCCATCGTAACGGTCCAAACTTACCGGTGGGGCGGGAACCCA